TCATCATCATCATCATCATCATCATCATCATCATCATCATCATCAGCATCAGCATCAGCATCAGCATCAACATCATCATCATCATCATCATCATCATCATCATCATCATCGTCGTCGTCGTCGTCGTCATCACCACCACCACCACCATCAGCATCAGCATCGTCATCATCATCATCATCATCATCATCATCATCATCAGCAGCAGCAGCAGCAGCGTCATCATCAACATCATCATCAGCATCAGCATCAGCATCAGCATCATCATCATCGTCATCATCATCATCATCGTCATCATCAGCATCAGCATCAGCATCAACAACAACAACAACATCATCATCATCATCAGCATCATCATCACCATCACCATTACCATCATCATCACGATTATCATTACTTCACCATCACCACCATCATCAGCAGCATCAACATCATTGTCAGCATCATCATCATCATCATCATCATCATCATCATCATCATCAGAATCATCCGTATCATCATAATCAGAATCGTCGTCGTCATCATTATCAGCATCAACATCCTAGGCATCGTCAACATCATCATCACCAGTATCAGCATCAGCGTCGTCATCAGCATCATCAGAACCGTCATCAGCATCATCATCATCATCATCATCATCATCATCATCATCATCATCATCATCATCATCGACAACAACAGCAGCATCATCAGCAGCATCAGCATCAGCATCAGCATCAGCTTCAGCTTCAGCATCAGCATCAGCATCAGCATCAGCATCAGCAGCAGCAGCATCATCATCATCAAAATCCCTTCTACACCTCCTCCCTCCACCCCACCTTGCCTCGGTAGGGGCTGGCCCCGGGCGCGCCATGCCCGAGCGCAGGGCGTTCTCGGCAACATCAACGGCCAGGTTCACGACGTCCCCGCACGTTGCCTCTTCGGCTCTGGGCCCGCCCCCCCTCCCCGGGGGGAGCAAAAAAGCACCCCCACTCCCACCTGGCCACGCTCCCCAAAGAGGTGAGGGGGGGGGAGGAAACAGCGCACACACTTTCGGGCGTCGCGGCCACGCGCGCGGCGGCACGGCGCAGGGCAAGCCAACCCGGAGCGCGCGGGCCGGGTCGGCTCACGCAGCGTGGAGGAGCTGGATCCACCCATGGGGGGAAATAGCACACGAACACACACACACACACACACACACAAACACACACACACACACAAACAAACTATACACACAATACACACACACAATACACACACACTTATCTTGGCGGCCACTGCCTCGCGCGCTGCGACGAGGCGGAGCAAGTCGAGCAAGCAGCACGGAACCAGCGCCCGCAGAGACCACACACACACACACACACACACACACCGGGGAGGCCCCAAAAGGGGGCTCATGACAGAAAGCCCAGAGCACAACAGCAAGCCGGGCTCACAGGCCGAAAACCCGGCTTCAGCTCTCGGTGTTGATTTGTAGGGGGGTGCTGCTCCAGGTCCCGCTGAGGGCCTCCCTGGAGGTCCAGGAGAGGGGTTCCGACCCAATTGACTCTGGTACCCGTTGAGGAGGCCTGGGTTCTCTCCCTCCGTAGGCGACCAACGGAATCCAACCAGCCCTCTGGGCGTAGGTGGTTTGACAGATTTTGTCTTCTCTCTCTCTCTCTCTCTCTCTCTGCCAAAACCCCTCCTTCCCTTGCTCTGGGGAGGACTTGGTCACTGCTCCCTATTAATATACACCCCCTCCCCCACCCAACTGGCGGCCAACCCGGCGAAACCATGCCGACCCCATGCGGGCCACCCCACCCACCAATCCTGTCGAAAAACAATACAAGACGCACTCGGCCTCCACAGTTGGAGCATGCGCGGCCAACCCGATGCGCCCCCCCCCCCACCATCCCTATGAAGAAACAATACAAAGTACACTTTAAAACAACATCTTAAGGCATGTTCTCGTGAGGCCCGCGAGCACTTTATATTGTTGTTCTTGAAAGGGACGGTGGGGGTGTCAGCATGTTCCCTGCTGCGCGCAGGGCTACCATTCCTCACAAGAAGCCATGCAAAATGCGCCTCGCGGCCAAATCCGGATCATGCGCGGGCGGGCCGCGAGCGGCGGGCGGGCGGATCGTGATCCTCAGGATGTGTCCTGCAGCGGGATGCTGTGGGATACTGGGTGTTGTGCTGGAGACGGAGGCTGGGTGAGTGCTGGGTGTTGTGTCCCGCGCGGGGGCTGGAGAAGGGAACACGGCGGGCGGCAGGCGGCGGGCAGGCGGACGGGCGGAAGGCGGACCGCGTTCGCTCTTGCAGCGGGATGTCGTTGAGCACCGGGTGCTGTGTGGCAGGCGGAGGCTGTTGAGTACTGGGTGCTGGGTTGGAAACGGGGGCTGGTGAAAACTGGGAGTGGCATTGGAGACGGAAGCAAGGCCTGCGGGCGGAGGGCGGAAGGGCGGCGGGCGGGCGGCGGGCGGGTCGGATTTGCATAGAACTTGTGAAAATCATCTATTGCATCCGGATGCCCGTCAACACGAGGTGCTGCGTGGAAGACGAAGGTTGTGGCGCACTGGGTGATGTGCTGGAGACGGGCTCTGGTGAGTACTGGGTGTGGTGTTGAAGGCGGAAACAAGGCGGGCGGGCGGCGGGCGAGCGGACGGCGGGCGGGCGAGCGGCGGGCGGGCGGCGGGCGGATCAGGATATTCTTGAAACTCGTTGAGCATCGCTTAACCGATCCATATCCCCACGAGCGTGGCCTCAGACCCCCTTTCCGAGTTACCCCCCTAGGTAAGGATACAGACTGCTCCCTTCGGGTTCCGAGGAGCATATCCCCAACTAAGGTGGTGGGATGGAGGGGTTGAGCCCTCCGCTTCCAACATGCACCCAGTATTCCGCAGCCTTCATTTCTTACGCAATGCCTAATATTGAACGGCATCCCGCTGCGAGGGGGGTATATTCTACGACCCGCCCGCCGTCCGCCTGCCGCCCACCCGCCCGCCCACCTGCCGCCCGCCTTACCTCCGCCTTCGACACCACACCCGTTATTCACTGGCTTTCGCCTCCAACAGAACACACCGTATTCCGCAGCCTTCGTCTAGGCACACAACACCCAGTATTGAACTGCATGCCGCTGGAAGAAAAAACCGTTCTATGAGTGCTGTGAAAATCCCAACCCGCCCGTCGCCCGCCGCCAACCCGCCCGCCCGCCGCCCGCACGCCTTTTTCCGTCTCCAACACCACACCCAATATTCACCAGCCTTCGTTTCCAAGACAACACCCAGTACTCCAGTCTTCGTCTCCCACACAACACCCAGTATTGAATGGCATCCCGCTGCAGGAGGGATCCATTCTACGAGTCAGTCTCGTTGAACCTATCCCCTTCCCAATCCCCATCCCCATCCAGTGAGTACAGGGTGTGGTGTCAAAGGCGGAACTTGGGCGGGCGGCGGGCGGGCGGGCGGGCAGCGGGCGGCTGGCGGGCGGCGGGCGGACGGCGGGCGGGTCGAGGCTTATCAAAACTCCCACGGTTTGTCCCTCTGGAAGCGGGATGACGTTCAATACCAGGTGCTCCGTAAGAAACGAAGGCTGCGAAATGCTGGGTGTTGCGTTGGAGACGAAAGCCGGTGAATACTGGGTTTGGTGTCAACGCGGGAATCAGATGGGCGGCCGGCCTGCCGGCGGGTCGGGTTTTAATAGAACTCATAAGGATTCTCCCTTGCAGCGGGAGAGATGCCGTGCAATCCTGGGTGTTGTGTGGGAGACGAAGCCTGTGGAGTACTGGGAGTTGCGTCCGAAACGGAGGGTGGTGAGTTCTGGGTGTGGTGTCGAAGGCGGAAGCAGGGCGGGCGGGCGGCGGGCGGGCGGTGGGCGAGCGGGCGGCGGGCGGCGTTCGGGCGGGCGGCGGGCGGGCGGGCGACTGGCGGGTCGGGTTTTGAATCCGCCGACCCTGTCAACGTGTGGACCCCGTGTCGGCGTGTGCTCCGTCGACGCATCCGTTGTCCTCTTTCCCCGAGTCTCCGTCGTCCCCATTCCCTGCACGCTCCTCTTCAAGCCTGCCAGCGAGAGAAAACCGTAGCAACGTCGTACTTAAATCTAAGGAAAGCCCCTTCCCTTTGATCCCTCCCCCGCCGAGGGGTGGGGGGGTCCCGGGGAGGGTCCCGGGCGGGTCCGGGGGGGGGTCAGATACGCATCCGCCCCTGGGCGTCCCAGAGCCCAAAAATGCGCCAAGAGGGCCCCAAGCAGGCCCAAGAAGAGGACCACGAACCGACATTTCGAGCTTCCCGCCCCAAAAAGCCCCCGGAAGGCCCAAGAGCCCCTCAAGGGGCCCGAAGAGGCCGCCAAGAGATACCCAAAAGGGCCAAACAGAGGCCCCAACAGACCCGAAACCATCCAAGAGGCCTTTCAACCACAACCCCAGCACTGTGGCGGGAAGGGCCGCAAGCCACAAGGCTCCCTGTCTGTCTCTGCTACGACTCCCTCGGCCCACATGGGGAACATCTCCTTCGCCTTATCCTGCTCCCTTCCACCTTAATCCCCCTCCTCCTCATCCTCGTATTCGTCGTAATGTTCAGGGTCGGCGGCACTGGCCGTAAGGCCTTAGCAATTGAACTCATTAAGATTATCCCTTGCAGCGGGATGCCGTTCAATATTGGGTGTTGTGTGGACGAAGTTTGCGGAATACTGGGTGGTGCTTTCGAGACGGAGGCTGGTGAGTACTGGGTGCGGCGTTGAAAGCGGAAGTGGGGGGGCAGGGACCGGCTTTCCGTCCTGGGTCGTGTTTTCACTGCATGAGAGGTCATGAGGGAACTCATGAGAACTCATGAGGGGACTCATGAGGGGACTCCTGAGCGTGTTCCCACCATCGTGTCTCCTCTTGCATGCTCGGCATTCGCTCTTCGGTGGCCCCGTTTAGCTCGACCGCTGGGGCAATAACCTCTGCCTCGCCGCCGACGAAAAAATTGTCACTGCCACAGGGGCCCGTCAGGGCCTGGGGAAACCGAAAACGATCAGATGAACCCGGCGCGACACCCAATAGGGGTCAGTCCTTCCAATGCAATTCAAAGCAGGTCTGAGCAATATGCAAAGCAACGGCGATGGAATGCAAAGCATTGCTTGGCATTGCTTGGCGTTACTCGGCACTGCTTGACATGGCTGGGTACTTCTTGGCAACACTGGGCATTGCTGGGCATTGCTTGGCATGGCATTGCATGGCATGGTTGGGCATTTCTTGGCAGCAAATGGCATTGTTCGGCATTGCTTGGCATGTCCTGGCATTGCTCCGCAATCCTTTGCATTGCTGAGTGTGCCTTTGCACTGCTTGGCATCCCCGCGCATTGCTGCTTGTCTTTGCTTGGCAGTGCATTGCATTGATCAGCATTGCTCGGCATTGCCTGGCATTGAACGGGCAACCCCAGGCAACCCCAGGCAACCCCCAGACAACCCCGGAGAACGCCCAGGGACGCCTCTGCAGGGCCCCGCACCTTCCCCGGCCTCTTCCACGATCAAGCAAGACACACGCCCTCCTTCCGCACAGCTTGACTGGGGAGAAAAAAACCAAACTTCGCCGTGATTCTTTCACCCCTGAGATCCGACGATGCGAGAACACACACACACACACAACACCGCGAAAAAACAAGCCCAGAGCCCCAGACCTCGCCTTCCTGCTGCACCCCTGGATGCCAGATCGATCTGCTGCACCTCTGGATGCCAAAAGCTGGGCGACCCCGCCCGGTGAGAAGCGTCTGCCACGCCAAGGATCTCCCGGGATATGCCTCAAGGTCGGTGCGCGGCACGGCCCGGGCTGACCCGGGCCACCGCGGACCCGGGCCGGCCCGTCCCCACGCCCTGGGCCCCCGGAGGTCGCCGGCGACTCGCGGGAGGCCCCCGCCAGGGTGTCGTCGTGGTCCTCGCTGCCGCGGCGCGGCTCCCCAGAGGCCTGGGCCCCTTCCCAGG